CAACAGTCCCCAAACAAGTGCTCCATTAGGTGCTGGAAAGTGCTTGGTGCATTGCACAACCCAAAGGGCATGCGGTTAAACTCGGACAAACCAAATGGAGTGCAGAATGCTGTTTTTGCCTTATCCTTTTCTATCATTTCCACTTGGTTGTAACCACTGGCCAAAACTAAGGTTGAAAACCACTTGGCCCCTTTAAGAGCATCCAAAATTTCCTCTATTCTAGGTAGAGGAAAAGCATTTTTCCTTGTCTTTGCATTTAAAAGCCTGTAGTCCACACCCATTCTTATACTACCATCTTTCTTTTGAACCAGAACAATGGGAGAGGAATATGGACTACAACTTTCTCTGATGACCCCACTCTGCAGCAACTGTTTAATATGACTGAGTGCCAGTTCATACTGGGAGCGTGGTATACGCCTATATGGTAGCCATACAGGTGTTTCATCAATCAACAAGATCTCATGCATAACCAACTTAGTGCAGCCCACATCCAACTCATCCTTGGCAAACACCTGATGATACTTGCACAAAAGGGACTTTGCTTGTACATTCTCCTCATTGCTGAGATTCTCAAACTCTGGCACTTCAAGTTCAGTATTACCACAGATGGTCTGTGTAGATACAAAAGCTACACAACTTTGACTATCTACAGACACATTTAACTTAGAGTCTTCTTCCAATACTTTTGCAATCTGCACTGTGGCCATCACCCGGCGAGTTGTTAGCCACACATCCGTTCTGCCCACATTAGTAACTGGAACATAAGCCCCACCCCCTCCTCCTTGCACCAGCGAAGGGGGCACCAAAAAACCTTCTGGAAGACAATTGTCCTCCGGCCCCAGGGGTTCAACCAATAACTCCACTGATTCCTGTACATGCATTGTGGGACAAGTGGCAGGGACATATGTTCCAGCCCTAACACAAACACGCTTTTTACCTTGCACTTTCACACGATGAGGTGCTGGAGAATTTGCCATGACTACCATCATTTGACAGTATCTTAGAGTCTTCTTCCACATGCGGGGTGCACACCACTGCAGCCTCCCACCAGTCCGAACCGTATTGTTTACAAAGTTCATCATACAGGAGGTGAAATACATTCATTCCCAACACCCCAGGCACCTGTATTTTTTTCTGCCTCATTTGACTGTCTGCTGAATCCTCCATGACCAACACCCTGCGACGGAGTAAGCACACACCAAAAATTGTAATGTCCAACTCAGTGTAGCCCAAGAAGGGTATCTTAAGACCGTTAAACCCCAGCCAACCACAATCTTTAAGCTTTTCATCAGAAAAATGGGAAAAACATTTTTTGAAAAAACTTGCAGTAATGGTGGTAACCATTGATCCAGTATCCAATAAACACAGGACCATAACTCCACCCATGTCAACTTTTCCTTCCCAACATTCTCCAATTAAGTGTCCATTATCCACGTAGTCATTACAGTTTGAGTCTAGCAACCCTCCCACCAGTGTATGGCTCTGTACACTGGCAGGTTCTAGTTTTCCGTCAGCCCGAGGGGTTGAGTCACTGCACCCACTTTCTCGCCCTCTTCCTCTGGCTAATTTTTCCTGGAGCGAGACCCCAAGGGGCAGTATCGAGCAATATGCCTGCTCTTTTCACATCTAAAGCCAATGGGTCTCCCATCCTCTGTTCCCCTAGGCTGGGTAACAGGAATATTAGGAGCTGAAAAGCTATGAGGAGTTAATGCCTTAATGACCAACTCTAACTGGATCTGCTGGGCTTTCAGCAGAGACTTCAGCTCTGCACATTCAGATGAATTGAAATCAACCCTCTCACAAGAGGCCATTACTTCACTATCAGTTGAAACAGACTGGCTGTATCTACCTCCCAATGGCTGGCTCTCAGATTGAGCTGTCCACTTAGTGGCTTCAGACCTCACATTGCAAATGGTCCATTGAGGATGAGCAGTAACTAAGTCCCTCAACCTCATCGTCAATGTTTGGTCCCTCACACACCACAAAACTGGTCCCGAAGATCCCTTAGGGCTTTAGCCTCAGCCTGCCTATCCGTTTGAATAATCTGGCCCATCAAATCAATTAAAGCATGGGAATAATCAGAGACTCTCCATCTTGCTGTTTACGATTGAAAAACCGATGCTGCAAAGAAACATGCGTATTAACACAACCAAACACTTCTGTAAGAGCGTCAAAAATTTTCTCTACATTTTCTCTCTGGTCGGTTGGCAGAAACCTTATCTCAGTACGTGCTGCACCTTCTAAATGTTCAAAAACAATCTGAGCACGTTCTTTTTCTGTGTTCCCTCTGGTTTGCACAAAATCTCTCATCAGGCCAATCCATTCATCTAAAGTCATGGAGTTGGTATGATCCAACCGCTCCGAGAAAAGCTGGCAGCTTTCTGTCCTGCTGCATGTAGACCACAGAGCCGCTTCCCATGGGTGGGAGAGCCGGGAGGCTCTGTTCGGTTTCACCTCCAGTAGCTCCAGCTGAAGTGGAGGGGCGGTCCACTGCTCTCAGAGTCATGCCAACCCCACCAGGCGCCACTGGCTAGATCTCCTAAAACCGTTCACTCATGTGTCAAAACTACATTTCTTTCTAATCTGAATAGTCAGTGCCCCCAAAATGCATCGTCCCTTTGACATTGTGTGAGTACTGCCATACAAAATTTTTAGATGTTTTGTCACTATGGCAGAGGACCAACAATATACAACCGAAAAGAGTAGCCTTCAAGGTTTGACATCACAGATTGCACTCACACTACCAAGGAAATTATTAAAAAAAAACGTATTCACACGCAAAGAAAGTTTCATACATATGTAAAAAGAAAATGTACATTACAGTAATACAGTAAATTGTATGAACACAAAATCAAAAAAACAAGGACGTATTCAGTGGTAGCTGTACTCATTCTCCCGCTCTTGTCCACTGTCTTCACCCTCCTGATTATTTACGCGCTGTTGTCCGTCTGGCCACAGATTGTTGTCCACATCACAGCGGGTACTTTCTCTTCTAAGTCCTCCTCTTATTATTATTCTTCCTCCTCTTCCTTGAGGAAGAACTTCCCCTTGTCTGTTTGCTTGGCCTTGTCCATCCATGTTCAGAGATCAGACTGGCGCTGGTCAAGCTGTATATATATGTTTGGCAGCTCACAATCATGGAAAACACCTGTGTGACACTTCCCGTTTGTTAGTCTAGTTTCACCTGACTGTCAATGACTGTCATCAATGTATCAAATATTCAAAGAAATTCATATATGGTATTCATGTTCTTGACTAATTCTGACAAATGAACAGACAGTTGTGCATGCAAGTACTTCTACAATGAAATCATGCTGACATATTTAGGAGAGAATGATCATTAGACTGAGAATCAACTAATCAGTTTAGATCTACAAGATCTATTCATTTGGAAAATGTGCTAAATGTGGACTAACTGTATAACTGTAGGCTACATGTACTTAAACATTTGCAAAGATGCACTGAGACAATTGAGACATGTACTAAGGCATTTGCCATTTGATAAAATGAATGAGAAATGCCATTCTGTTGTGAACATTTGCCAAGAGGTTTGGAAGATTGTCCATGTTATTTTGAGACTGTAATTTTTGTCAAGAAATGAGCCAAACCAATGGAGAAAAACTGTAATATCAGACCGCATTCTGCTTGAATTACAAAAAATATTGTAAGTGCTAAAGGGGTTTTACAGTAGTCCAGACCTATTAACCAGCAAAACATTTGAACTGAGCTCATTGGACATTTTAAATCATTACAGAAGAAGTCATCTGTTGGTGAGAGCTTCAATGAATTTGTTCAGACAGCAGCAATGCTGAAAAAGGCACATGACAGAATGCAGGTGCACACTAGCCTAGTGAACTAGACCAAATTCTTGCTTTGCAAAGTTTGCAAATAATACATTTATTTAGTCTGGCTTGCCAGGCTAGGTGCGCACCTGAAAGATATTTAGATCACGAGAATTAAAGAAAAATGCATTTATGTGGAGAAAACTGTTGTCAATATATACATTGGGATTAATCAAAAATTAACTACAGATAATAAATGTAGCATAACATAATAATTTCATGTTTGTGATGCTCTTATAAGCTATTTGAGCAGACGAATATACTACCAGGATACTTGTTGCTGCCGCCTAAAAATGACATATTGTAACAGAAAAAAGTCCCTGTAGTTTCCATCTTCCCCCTCCCCCAAGAGCCCTGCTGGTGGTAATTTGAATCAATGATCCAGCAAGGCGTAAATTGACAGGCTATGTGTTTTGTTTGTTTGATCAATTTTAAACATATATTCATATCTTTATTATTCCTCATTTGAGTGTTTCATATATTTTTTCATTGTTCATTAGTAAAATATAGGGCGCAAAATGAAAAGAGAGGCAAAGAAAGTAAAAACAAATAAAGCTTAAAAGTTTTCGGATGTTCTCCTCTTCAGTGACTATATAAATGTAATCGGATACAAGATCTGGACCTGATAAAGCTTGATATTTTTGAATGAAGCCATTTGTATTTATTTCTAACTGTGTCAGGCTTGGTTCTGTGTCGTTTTCTCTGACATCTTTGATTTTGTCGGCAGTCAGTCTTGCACAAACTTTTTCACTTACTCGCAAAGCAGAAGTGCAAGGAGTTTATTTAGAAGCGAGCAAGCGAAGAAAAAAAAACAGCAATTTAAACTGCACACATAACAATTGTGTTTCTAATACCATAAAAGAAATGTAGGCTAAAATGAACAGAAATACACAACCAAAACTGAAACGTTATACAAGCACAAAAGTTTTGTAAAAAAAATATATAAGTAGAAAGAAAACATACTGTGGGACTTAAAAATAAATATTTGAGTAAAAAGGAAAAAGAAATAAAAAATACTGTAGGGAAAAGTGAGGGCGCCCTTGTTGGTGGCAGGGGGCTATTTGTGCCCAAGACCCGGATGTTTTATGAACGCCCATGGTCAAAACAAAACTTGTACATACGTCCAAAAATTTGAACTCATACTGAAAATGTAATTTTAATCCCACTAAAAACGGTTCTATGTCATGTTTTAGTTGACAGGTGGAGCGAAATATCCTTACAGTTTACATCAGGTGGATAAAACAGCTGTCCTTTGACGTGGGTAGGTGCTAAGTTAGCAACCGAGAGGCTAACGAAACGTCAGGAGGAGAGCGTTGTGACTTGGAGGAAGGAAACTTGATCAGTGGGATCACTGCGTCCCGGTGCTTATGCAAAGCCAGCAAACGTGTGGATTCCTTACCTCGTTTAGAAATGGCGACTAAATCTGACTATCCTGTTTGACGTGTTTGCTTCAATCGGTTTATCAGAAATGTTAGTGAGCTAGGTTTTAGCAGCACGTCCTGCGGCTAGTTGTGGTTGGGAGCTAGCCCATTAGCAACAAACTTCTGAAGTTGTGTTCCTATTTATCTGTTTGCCAGACCAGATTGATTTTCTTTCCGAACGAACCCACTCTGACCCGTTTTAGCACCGGGGTGACTGCTGAATGAGCTCATGGCATCGGATGTAATCGAGAATGAAGCGAACTTTAAGGGTGTAAGTGATACAAGTTTGAACAATAGGAGCATAGACACTGTCACACCCAGCAGGACTCATGGGGAGTCTGGAATCAGATCCAGTCCCTCATCTTCCGGAGTGCCGGGGGAAGGTGATGAAGAGGATTTAAACGCATTTCAGATTAGCGCAGCTTCTGCTGTTGAAAATGGCGAAGAGGCATTTCAGGGAAGTCTGACTAAAACAAGAGGCTCGCCCCGGGGACAGACGACTCCAGACAAAGTCCCGAAGCCGCCAGGAGGAAAAGACTCTACCCCTGTTGGCCTTTCTCCGCCTGGACTCACTGGAAGGTTGGTATTATGGCAACAACTAAACAATGTGACAGGCGTGTGGTTTCATATTACCCCTGCAATTATTCTGCTTTCAAACACATTTGATGGCTACAGGTGTCCGTTCTCTTGGCAGCACCAAGGTTTCTGCTCCCATATTGTTCACATTTCTATTTTTTGCATGAAGTGTAATTAAATAAGGAAAACTGCTTTTTGCCAACAAAACAACAATGAATAACTTGTTGAAAGTCAGAAGGTATATCGACCTCTTAATGAAAACAGCTGTTTTGTCATAATTTTATGTGAGGAGTTTGTATGCAAGTAAATACAAAATACAGCTTAAGTGGTAATAAGAGTAATTGGAATAATCAGCTTTTTTTTCTTAACACTGTTACAAATTATTTAGTGTAATTTAGATTGATTAAAGAAGAGATTATATTTTTATTTTGCATTGCACACATGTAAAAAAAAAATCTACAGCAATCTGATATTTTCTTTGTGAAATGCTAAAGCAGTCAGAGGTGGCAGCAGACTTTAAACAGGACTCTTTGTGTCTCTATCACACGTGCGTTTTCAGGATCCCATGGTAAATAGTGTCAGCTGAATGATTTTTAAGGTAAACACGTTCAATCGAGAATGCCTTGTGTTCATTACTGCATCAAAACTATCTGATAAGGTATTTGGTGTGTTCTTACCATGTTTAGTTTCTAATTTCATTTTTGGTTCATTTTAAAACACAGGAAAGGTTTTTCTTTACCTTGCTAACGTTTCGTTTGCCGACTGCAAAACGAGCTGATGGTGGCGTCACTTCCTACTCCATTTATCCGCGGGCAGCAGAGGACGTCGCCCTCAACGTCCTCTGCTGCCCGCTCTCCCCTCTCCGATGATGCAGTCCCATGCACGATCCAATGTGTAGACCCCATCGTCTCTGTTCATGGTCCCACATCTACGTCTCCTTATCTCTATAGCTTCCTTTATCCATCTTTTGTATTTCTGTTGTTCGGTGTTTACGATCCTTGTGCTGTCCCAGTCCATTATATGGTTTTCTCTTGTGCAGTGATCTGTTACGGCTGACTTCATTATTGTGCTTTCTGCTTCATGTTTTGCTGCTCTTGTGTGTTTTCAACTTGTTTCTTTCTCGCACTCCTTTCTATGTTCTATTGTCCGTGTGTTGAGTTGGCGTCCGGTTTCTCCTATGTATGTTTTATTGCAGAGTTTGCATGGGATTTCGTAAACGACTCCACATTTGCTGGTATCTTGTCTTTTGGGTGTACTAGTCTGTTTCTAACTGTTGTGTATGGTTTTGTTGGTGTGTTTATGTTGTGTTTTTTCATTGCCGCTCTTATTTTTTCTGTTATGCCTCTGATGTATGGTAGGGGTATCACTGGTTTTGGTTCTTGTCTTTCTGGGTTTCTGGTTCTTTGCTTAGCTTGTTCTTTTCTTTCTGTTGTTGTTTGTTGTTTTCCTTTGTTTATTGCCCATGTCGGGTATCCGCAGGTCTTTAAAGCGTGTTGTGTTTGTCCTCTTGTTTGCGGTTCTTCTGTTACCATGTTTGCTCGCCTCGGTGATATAATGTTCTGATTACTGACATTTTGTGTATGGTAGGGTGTTCTGATGTCCATAATAAGTATTGGTCTGTGCGTGTTGGTTTTCTATATGTGTTTATGTTTAGGGTCCCGTCGGTCTGCCTGGTTATTTTCATGTCCATAAATGCTATACTACCTTCTGTTTCTAACTCATAAGTGAACTTAATGTTCATAGTCATAGAAAGTTAAACTTAAATGTAGCTGCTGTCAGTAACAATCTAACAGATTTTAAACATTAACACACAACAGAAATAGTTCAAAAATGAAATTAAAATTTTCATAACTATGTGTGTGATTTATTATTATTATTATTATTATTATTATTATTTATTGTGGCAGAAGCTGGTGTGGTCTACCACAGAGAAAACTGCTCTAGCATGATGACTTTAATTATTCTACAGGTTGTTGTTCAGCCTTCTGACGCTCACACAGGCGAGTGTTGGTGAGCGGCTGCGTCTGACTGCTGACGCTCCATGAGTGTTTTTATTTCCGCAGTGAGACAAACTCACCTCACACCGTCCAGAGTTTGTTCTTTAAAGCTTCTATTAAACCCACTATGTTGACGTACTTTAGCAAGTTTCCTCTACGTCGCATTTTTCGCCGCAGGAATTAAAGTTTACATTACGGAATAAAAGTTCAGCAGACACGTTTATTTTTTCTATTTGGTCGCTGCGCGCCGGGTGGATGCAGGGGGGACTCTGTGCTGCACACAGACCCCTGATGTGATCAGCTCTGAAAAGCGTTGATCACAATTTACAGATCACGTTTATGTTTCAAGCAGATCGGCCACGGATTGCTTTTCCGGTCAGCACACTAGGAATCGAAACTAGGAATCAAAATAAAAAAACTTTGAACGATTCCGGGAAAAACTAACAGTTGGTCCCGGTTCCAGTCGATGCTCGGTTCTTGATGCTCGATGCCCAACCCTAGTAAAAAGCTCCAAAAAGTGGATTTTCAATTCTATAGCCCCTTTAAAAGACAGTTCTATGTTCAGGAACAGGGATAAGGTTATTTAATTTGGTTCTCTGTTAAATGTGTTGATGAAACTACAAACAAGTTGGCTGATATTCTTTGTAATCTCACACAGATGGCACCTTTATAAAGTTCACCTTTGTAAAGTACCATTTAATGGAACAGAGCTGCATGGATTAAGACATTTTTGTTTATTTTGACTTCATTATCTGACTTCCATTCCAACATTCAACAATCCAAGTGTTGCAACTTGCACTTGGATTGTTTCTTTTCCTGGGAACGGCATTCCTTTCCCATCTGGTTTCCGGTGTTGTATAGAGATCAGCAGAAAGCTTAACAACCATTTCTCTGAAATGTTAAATGTGTAGGATACCAATATGTGCATGACTGCATCAAAGGGGGCTTTGTGCAGCAGGGGTACTGTGGTTGGCATTAGTTAGTCTTGTTTTTGTGATTTAAGCTTCTAAGCTGTTTAGGAAGCCACTTACATGAGTGTATACTGTGTTGTATGTTAATTAGAAAAATGAGCTAGCACACTTCCTCAGTGGAGAACCCTGAGAACAATATCTGGTTAATAAGGTGGCTTTTGTGGGGAAAAGATTCATGTGTAAAGCCTCAAAACACAATTTCTAACTCCGAGAAGCTTTAATATAGAAAATTATGTCAGTCAAAAAGTAAAAACGCACAACTTGAGATGCAGCATGGATATTAATTGTTCTATTAATGTGTGATTGATTTTAATCAGCAGTAGCTCAGGAGGTACAGCGGGTTGTCCAGTAATCGGAAGGTTGCAGGTTTGATCCCGGCTCTGACCAGAGAATGCTGCTGTTGTGTCCTTGGGCAAGACACTTAACCCACCTTGCCTGCTGCTGGTGGTCAGAGGGACCGGTGGCGCCTGTGGTCAGCAGCCTCGCCTCTGTCAGTGCGCCCCAGGGCAGCTGTAGCTACACCGTAGCTCATCCCCACCAGTGTGTGAATGTGTGTGTGTGTGAATGACTGAGTGTTGTAAAGCGCCTTGGGGCGGGGGGGTAAAACTTTAAGAAAGTGCAATACAAATACAGGCAATTTACCATGTAATAATGGTGTGCTGCAGAAAAATGAATAAGGACTTGATTAAAAAATACACAATTTAAATCTAAATAAATATATTTGCTCCTAAAGGAGGGTCGGGCAATTAATCGAAAATTTATCTTTATCAAAATTTCTGACTCTTATCGAGGTAATTTCTCCCATGTCAATAAATTTGATAATAAGAAAGTGAAAAGATGTGGCGACATTCATGTCCCTTTAAGACGCTGTACCACCTTGAGTCACGTAAAAATGTGACTCAACGTAATACACGTGACAGCACCATCTAGTGGACAACTTTTGGTTTTTGTACATACCTGTATTTATCGTCCATTTATCGTTATCGAGGTGAAATCCTCAATATGTCGTGATATTAGTCCATATCACCCAGCCCTACCCTAAAGGCTTTTCTTTATTAGGTAAACATATGTAACGTACCAAAAGGGTCAATTTGCTCTTATATATTGACCAACATACCTTTCGTCTACAGCAATAAATCCACTTTCTGTTTGGCCTTCCAAACCCAGAAGGTTCTGTTCAGTGCGTGTTTACATACTGAAGACAAAACATTCTCTCCCAAGGTCCTACACACTCTGCATGAATGTCAGAAGTCAACAGTCTTCGCTCTGAATAAGTGAACACTTCATGACTTTTACAATTCATAAGCTTACAATAATCATGTGTGGTGTCAAATTCTGATTGGCAAAACTTGGCCAGAAATCATAACAAAGTAGTTTAATAAAACAAGACTTACTTCCCGATTAATTCAGTTTCCAGCTGACCCCCGATTCGGCCAAATCGGGAAAGAAGCCACTTACACACTAGCATCGGCTCCGCTCCGCCCGCCCCAGCCTGGCCGCGTTCCACACTGCCTTAGGAATGCGGAAGTGATTGAGCACATGAGCGGTCTCCAAAATTGGCATGAAAAATGGATATCAGTGATGTCATGAGTGCATCTCCAAGCGTGTTGGCAGGGCAAAAGAGCGTGCAGAGAAGTGTGCGGTTTCACCTTTATTAAACAAGCAGCCTGAGCAGTCTTGCTTTTGGAGACTCTCTGACTCTGATATTGCATCCTGCTTTGTTGTGTCTGGCAGCACTCTGTGTGCGTGTGTGTGTGTGTGTGTGTGTGTGTGTGTGTGTGTGTGCGTGCGTGTGTGTGCTTCCTCACAGCAGTGGCACAAAGAAAAACTCCAGTCAGAGGCTCGTTAATTCCACAGCATCCAGAATGATTATGAATCGTGGGCTGATTCTATCCACCAATCGGAGGCGCCCCCGAGTGGTAGGCATCAATTTGAGCTGGCCACTCAGTCAGTAGTGGGCGTATTGGACCAGTTTGGCTCCAGGCAGACCGCTTTGGGAAGAGGGCAGAAAAGACGTCCGGTTGCGTGCGGGAAATGAGAACACTCCAAACTCGGTCTAGGCCGAGTGGAGAAGATGCTAGTGTGAAAGTGCTAAAAATGAGTGGACTTTGTCTTTAAGGTTTCATTTAAAATTCCACAAAAGTTTTGCAAGTCATCATTGCAAGAAAACCAATTATTCATGTTGCTCTGCTCCAGAATTTGAAATATTTAATTTTTCTAAATCCAAAAAGTCTTTTTTGAATCATCACTGTGAAGTATGGAATATCAAATCCATCTTGTGATTCCTGTCTTTAGCCTGGAGCGCCAGGAGTTGGTCAGGACCACGGAAGCTCGTTTACGAATGGAAGGAGTCGAGCTGAAGGAAGAGTGGCAGGACGAAGATTTTCCACGGTAATTTCAGTCACGTGTATCGGTGCATTGTCATAATCTAGCAATGTGTTGTTTCTTTTTAAATGTTTTAAACAGTCATGATTACTTCTGATTAAACGTTAGGCCCCTCCCAGAGGAGGAAGAGCTTGAAGAGGAGCTGTTTGGAACTTCTGAGGAAGTCGACCCTGGTAATCAAGTCACTTTGTACATTTCTGCAGAAAACCTATCTGTGGTCCCTCACCCCTGTCAGATCCCACATGGTAATAGGTTAAGAGAAATGTTGCTGCTCCTACGCTTTTCCCTTGCTTTTGCATTTTAAAGTTCAACTGTAACTACGATGAGGGCTCAGCAGCCTGACTTGTGTAAGTTATGACTTATTCTAAGTATTGCATTTATTTCTGCAGAAACCCCCGTGAGTATCAAATCAGAAAAAAAAAACACCATTTATCTGCTTTTGGGAACTAAATCAACCACCACTAAGCATATTTTTGTCTGTTTTAGGCTTTGCAACAAACCACAGCAAGAAGGCAAAGAAAAAACTCAGTGCTCCAGACATCAGCCTGACTCTTGACCGCAGCGATGGCTCCATCCTCTCTGATGAGCTGGAGGAAAGCACAGAGTTGGATCTGGATGCCATCGACACGCCGTCAGACAACAGCAATGAGTTTGAATGGGAAGGTAAGAAGTATATCACGGAAAACACAAATACCACATCTGCTTTGGCCCTGGAACTGTGGTTTTATCTAGCTTTGTTTTAGTTTCTGCTGTTAAAGCAAAATATGTAAAGACATCACTCCTTAGGTGAGCTAAATACTTGAAGGTTCCCCACTCTGAGTCCAGTTAGAAGAGAAGGCCAGGTATCTTTATCCATATAGCACATTTCATACATTGAGGCACTTTCCAGGAGCATGAACAGCTAAATCAACACAACAGCATAATTAAAATATCAGATGCACAAATTTAATTCAGATTTAAGAATCCGATAAAAGTTAAAGGGTGAGCAGTTACGGTGCAGCATAATAAACAGTCATTCATAGGCTGATGAATACATGAAAGTTTGAATTTAGATTTAAAAGTTGGGGCTCTTTTGTGGTCCTGAGGAAGCGCCCTGCTTCACATTTTTATTTGTTGAACTTGGTTCTTGCACCTCTAGATGATTTACAGGTTTACTTTGGCAGTTTGCTGCCTCATGTATGGTTAAATATGCTTTGTTGTGTTTGTGTTTCCACTCTGCCGCCTTCTTCTTTTTCACTTGGAAGAACCGCTTCCTTTGTCTGCCTGGAAACAGGCTGCAAGCCAGCAGCAGGTTTCTCTCCCCCGTGGGGTAAGGACTCTTGGACAGACTTTCTTCTTGTTTGATCTTTTGGAAAACACAAGTCAATCAGCGTCTGTCGTCCGATCATGTTTTCAGACAAATGCCTTTTTTCCCATCATTCCTTACTTCCTCTTAATTCAACTTTGCTTTCATATATATATATATATATGTTATTATTATTATTATTTTTAATTATTATTTGTTTGGAGTTTTTCTGTTCATGGGGAAATGGTATCACCTTGTCACCAGTTTAATAAATCAGCTGTTTTGATGTTTGTGAAAAATTAAAATTAATTTAATATTGCAAACATGAAATGAAAGGAAAAAAAACTGGAATCTACTTTTTTGCTGTTGCTGTGGCATAAAAAACAGCGCAGCATTGCTTGGAAAATGATGTTTTTACTTTAACCATCTGTTGTGTGGTCTTGGCATTTTTACTTTAGTAATAAAATGAGTGCGTATTTTCAAAATGAAAAGGAAATCTTAGCTTAAAGAACATGTTGTGTGATTTGCTTTCACAATTTTGGTTTTGATTCCTCTCGTTGCATGCTTGAAGTACCTGATCACTTAAGTACTTTGTTGATGTTGGGGCTGCATGACTTAATTTTTTTTAAAGTCGACAGTCAAGTAATGAAAATCGAGTCTAATTTGACTAGTCGTTGATGACGTCATACACCTGAAGCGGCGCAAGGGGTGGGGGGTTGGGGTTCGGTTGGTTCGCATCAGGCACAAATAAAAGACAGAAAACATAAAAGGAAATGAGCCGACATAAACGATTGCGTGTTAAATTTGTTTTTCAGGTGGCGACACCTGATGTTACTGTGGCTGTGCTCAGGACGCAGATGTCTGGAGCGCGTCAACGATCAGAGCTTTGCATGCACAAGCTGGTTAAGATTAGGATGGTGGTGAGGGGAAGGTTAAATTGTAAGATGGTAAAGGTCACAATTTAGTTAAATGTCCGTTTTACGGCGGGTGTCTGATACCAGTGCGTCGCCTCCCGACGCGCATGGGCTCGTCACCTGCTGTCTTTTCCAAGGACTGCATCTTGTCGGTCATTATCATGTGACAGCGACTAGTCGATGACAGGCATAAAAAGTCACTACAGAGCCGTGAAGTCGACTAGTCGACTAGTTCATACAACCCCAGTTGATGTTATGACATCAGTTTTATGAAACTATGCAGCTCTACGTTTACAAACAAAAGCGGTTTGTTGTGAAAGAACATCTTTGATTTTCATTGTGAATCGACAGGATTTTTGCCTTTTCTCTCTAAAAATCGCAAAGAAAGAACGCCGTATTGTGAATTTTGGTTTTTAATCTGGGGAAAAGCATGCTGCAGAGATGCAAAAGATCAAAACCAATCATTTGTTCAGTGCGCCCGATTGAACTGCGAATATTTGATTAAAAAACGATCGGATCTGGATTACAAGAGCTATGGGTGTTTAGCTTTTTGCTTAAAATGTATTTTCTTCCTCAGATGATCTTCCCAAGCCCAAAAGCACAGAAGTGCTACAGAAAGGTGTGGAGACGGTCCAGGAGTTATCCGCATCAGAGGAGCGGGAAGAAGGTCGACGGTGGAGGATTTTCCATTTTGGAGATCAGGACCACAGAGTGGATATGAAGGCTATTGAGCCCTACAAGAGAGTAATCAGTCACGGGGGTCAGCACCTTTTCATGTAGTTCACACACTAAACAAAAAAACTCTAAACATGTCATAATGTTAGCGTTTTTCTCTACAGGTTACTATGGCGATGGTTTGAATGCTATAATTGTGTTTGCCGTGTGCTTCATGCCTGAGAGCAACCAACCTAATTACAGATACATCATGGACAATTTATTCAAGTGAGCCCATTAGCCTCGTTTTAGTGCTTTAGCGATGACGCGTGAAGCTAACGACGGTTTCCTGTTTCAGATACGTCATTGGCACTCTGGAGCTGCTGGTGGCTGAGAATTATATGATTGTTTATTTAAACGGGGCGACTTCTCGTAAGAAGATGCCGACGGTCGGCTGGCTCCGAAAGTGTTATCAGCAGATCGATAGGAGGTGAGTCGACATCGTCTCATCCTTCTAATCAAGTAAAGCTTCGACTAAAGTAGAAAACCTGAGACTTTGAGCCATTATTTACTCATTATTTTTCTTTCAAACACAGGTTACGGAAGAACTTGAAGTCGTTGATAATCGTGCACCCTTCTTGGTTTATTCGGACCCTGCTGGCTCTCACAAAACCTTTCATAAGGTATCAGAAATGTTCAGGGTGGTAAACACAATTATTTATATTTGTTTAATCATTTTCTGCTTTTCTTTTACAGCTCCAAGTTTAGCCAGAAAATCCAGTTTGTGTTTAGCCTGACGGACCTCGCTGAGCTCGTTCCAATGGAGTATGTGTCCATACCAGATTGTATCAAACAGTAAGTACGTTGGAGCGCTGCTAACGTGTCTGAAGGTCTGCAAGCTAAAGTCACAGCTGTAACGGGTATTTAGTTACATTATTTATAGTAGATTGGAATCTACTCAAGCAAAGACGTTAATCATTTTTGTATTTTACACTCTTCCATCTTTATTTTACTCTTGGAAGCTGTGCTGTGTTTGCATTTTCAAATGAAACACGAGCAGAATTCACATCATGTTTAAAGTAACAACCTGAACTCATCTGTTGTCTTGATTGTTGAGGATGATTCACCTCTGAGAGAATTTCAAACCAAAGTGCAGAGCATTTACATTCAAGTAAAGTTCTCCCCTGTTCTCCATCCTGACTGTCATTGGGACCTCTGCTGACCTGGCTTGTATCTGAGATGCTTCGACCACTTGTCTGAAGGAGAAGATTGCTGTCAAAGTGTCCGAGGATTAAAATCGGATCAAAATGGGAAAGCTGAAACCTTATGTTTGGTTTTTTTGTGTGCTTTAGCAAAGCCTCTCAAACCAGCAACCTTCTTTTTCTAAAATCTAAACATTCTTTTTCTGAAAAGAGTGACCCTTAACCCTAAGATCTGAGTGGACCACCTGTCCTGTCCTATTGACCCTTTGCACGTGACGTCACGCCACTCATGTCACCGCCCCCTTCACCATGATGGACAGCAAAAAGATCGTTTACACCCATTGAAACTCCAGTGAAGCTAGTCAAAACAAGCCAGTTTGTAGCCTTTTATCGCTTTTATTTAGTTGATTTGACAGTAAAATGGTTTTAGCTTGCTGCGTGGTTGGCTGCACTAACAGACAAGGATGTAAACTCAACTTGTTTTGCTTTTTAATAACTTTGATGGAGACTGAGGACGGAGATTAACTGCAGCGACCAATCAAGCGGACTAGCAGCCCTCAGATTTGCAGCGAACATGTTTTTACCGGGTAAGATTAACGTTCATTTATTTCACGAGGAAGACAGAGACAGGGATAAATGTGATGTGTTATACTAGTTATTATAATCCTGATGGATGGGTATTTCACCACGGAGGATGCACGCCGTCCACTGTAGTGTAAAGCGAGATGATTATTAACAATATTAAAGCTCCGATGTATGATTACGTGTGTTAAAATTACATTATTTATTTATATGAGCGTCGGCGTTCAGAGATCTTCTCATTCCGGTGTGAGAGCAGCAGCTGAACCCGGTAACACCACCAGCAACAGAAGCTGGTAGGGATCCGGACTTTTTAACAATCAGCTTTGGTGTAAAGTGAAACGCTGTTTATAAAATAATGTTATAAATCCAGAGGGGTGAATTTAGGCAGTCAGCAACATGTTTACATCGGTGAACAGCTGCAGAAAGAACATAAGCTAATGTTGGTAAGCTAGTTAACATACCGCTCTCTATGAGCCCCGGCTAGATGCGCTACTTCTTCTGATAACTGAACCGGGCATGAACTAGTTGAAGGAATGCTGGAGGAGTTTTGTTTTTGTTTTGATCGCAAAAACAATTTCAGGCTCTACTTTTCCCTTTGTTTAGCACTCGTGTCGCTCACTTTTACACGCTTTTGCCGTCCAGCATGGTGGACCCACGTGATTAGGTGACGTCAGTGCAAAGGGTCAATTGTGTGTTTTGCCCCCCCCCCCCCCCCCCCCGGAGGTCTGAACACCCTTCGGCACACTTAACAGAAAATACGACTCACAGCTTTTGAGAAAGCTCTTCGAATGAGAAGCGAATCATCTTCAGAAAACAACAAGTCTACATACCCTTGCTCACTGATTCTGTCTGTTTTCCTCAGTTCAACCAGATCCATGTATCTGCCCCACATTCCTTTAGGATGGTGACTAAAGCCTAGTTTATGCTTCAGCGTCAGAGAGAGACGCTCACGCGTTGACGGAGATGTTTTGTCTTTGGACTTCTCTGTCACCTGGGGAGTGTTGCAAATCAGTTCCCCACCAGGACAACAGAGGGCGTAGTACTTTTCTGGGGTATCCTGTCACGTATCCAGTCCAAGATATTTACTATTGTTTTTATATTGTGTTTTTTGTATTTCAGGGACTTTTTAACACAGACAAAATTGTCAGGTCAGGGACGAGGTCCTGCCTCAAGTGGAGGAGTTTAAGTGTCTCAGGGTCTTGTTTATGAGTGAGGGAAAAATGGAGCGTGAGATCAATAGGCGGATTGGTGCTGCGATTGCAGTGATGCGGGCACTGTACCGATCTGTCGTGGTGAAGAGAGAGAGGAGTCAGAAGGCAAAACTCTCCATTTACCGGTCGATCTACATTCCTACCCTCACCTATTGTCACGAGCTTTGGGTAGTGAACGAAAGAACAAGATTGCGGGTACAAGCAGCCAAAATGAGTTTTTTCCGCAGAGTGGCTGAGCTCTTCCTTAGAGATAGGGTGAGAAGCTCGGTCACCCAGGAGGGGCTCAGAGTAGATCCGCTGATCTTCCACATCGAGAGGAGCAAGTTGAGGTGGCTTCGGCATCTAGCTTGCCTCCTGGACGCCTCCCTGGTGAGGTTTTCTGGGCACGTCCAACTGGAAGGAGACCCAAGGGAAGACCCAGGACACGCTGGGAACTAATTTCCCTCTGGGATTAATCTCTAATTTCCCTCTGGGATTAACTCATTCACTGCCAGCCGTTTCCTGATCACTAACAGCCTTCGCTGCCAGCGCTTCTCACCTTTTTTACTGTTTTTTTAAGAGTCACAGAACGTTGCGCGCTAGGATGATGTCGATGCCAAAACAACCAAAACAAAGAGGAGACTCACCTCTTACATCAGGAAGAATCCGCATGTTTCGAGCGTTATCCGTTCTTTCATAATCCGTTGCCGCTTTTCCGGTTCGCGCCTCACTTTTTTTTACAGGAACGTCCCAAAACGATCTCTTAACACATGGATGTTTTGCTTCCTGATCATGTGAAGTGTGACGTATGCGGATGAAGATCGGCTTCAGGGCTGAGATGTTTGTTCTCTCAGCGCGGGGGCTCGTCCCGATGCTCAAACAGTAAAAAAATGCAAATGACGACTTTAGTCGTCAATGGCAGTGAATAAGTTAATAAAGTATCTTTGAATTGAATCGAATTGAATGTGTCTCGGCTGGCCAGGGAACACCTTGGGATCCCCATGGAGGAGCTGGCCCAAGTAGCTGGGGAAAGGTCAGTCTGGGCCTCTCGACTTAGGCTGCTGCCTCTGCAACACGACTCTGGTTAAGCGGCTGAAAATGGATGGAAGGATGAATGTTATAAAACATGGTTCATATATTTAGAGTTTTTCTGCAAGGTATTCTTCAAGCTGCTGTGGTCTGCCGATAGATATCGTTGGCTCTCTTTATTTTTATGAAGCAGCAATGGCGGTGCTGTTGATGAATTTAAGGGAAGCGACGTCCTGACTAGGGCTGTACAATATATCGAAAAATTATCGCCATCGCAATAACAAGACGTGTGATAGGCTCATCGCAAACAACATCAAAAAAAGCAATAAATGTTTGGTTCAAACATTTCCATCCGTGTCATACATCACCTTTTTGTAAACCAGCTCTGTTTTTACGCGGAAGTATTTGACCAATCAAATGTAGCCCGTCTGATATGCGGCCAATCAGATGGGTCCGTTCACGTAATACGCCCGCCTCCTACGTAGACCCTTACCCCAAAATTCCACTATCTCCGCTCTGCCCCCGCTTTCCGCTGCCGCTCGCTTCCCTTGTTCGTCATGCTGGCTTAGATTAACGAACACACTTTGTGCTGAGGTTTCTGGAATCAGCGCTGCTTTCAAACGTGAACGTGAGTCCGCTCGGTGTCGTTAAGCAGCTGATAATAACTGGGCTGACTCCGACACGTGCCGGTGAACCAACCCACCTACCTTCAAGTCGCTAGTGCTCCACCGGGTGGTGATGTTAGCCCCAGGCTCCGGTTAGCTTCCAGCTAAAAGGCTACAGCACTCTCCTCCCAGTCCCTCCCTGCTAAAGAGGGCCTGGAAAAGTTCCGCCACACATCAAAGTGATTTTTCATTTATCAGCTTTTATAACCTTGTTAATCAGGATAGTTGATTTGCTGCTGCACATAAACTGTCAGTCAGAAGCTCTGCTAGCCGGTTATCTTAAGAGGAGCTAGTTCAATTTGTTAGCTTGTTATCAGAAACATAGTTGCAGTTTCATCATCTGAGCTGCTTTTTAACATCTAGGTAAACTTGTTCAATTTGGGGTTAAAAACAAACGTTTTCACATATTTTCCATGTATTTTTTTTTGCCAGTTCCTCTTCTGAAAGGTAGACAATTGTTCTTCTCTTTCCCTCAGAAAATCTTAATGTTCTCCTAGTTTGGCTGAGCACAGATCACTTCCCAATTACAGCAACAGCCTTATATCATAACCACATAAGTGGAGAAAATGTTCAGTAGCAATGAGATAATTTGCTGTTGCATTTAAGTGATGTTAACTATTATTTAACACTTAAACTTATTTTCAGTTTTTTTTTTTTTTTTTATTCAGAAAACCCTGGTAAGGGATGTTTTTCTGTATTTGGAGCATCAGAAAAAGTTTTACAGTGGTGTTGATGTTTTAAAGTCACTGAGAAACTGCATGCATGCCGTCTGTTGTTTTGCTGCTAATACAGTAGCAGGTGCAGCTTTATATTTTTGCAATAAAAATGTTATGTTGTACTTGGAATTCATGCATTCGTTTTTGTTTGCTTTGAACCCAGAGCAGACGTCACACGCCAGACGACATCAACACTGCATACTTTAGTATTTGTTCATTTATCGTGAGTAATATCGATATCGCAATATTAAGCACTGTTATCGAATATCGCAGGTTTTCCTAATATCGTGCAGCCCTAGTCCTGACCATTTGCAAGATTGCGTTCTCCGTCTCGTATGACAGATGTTTTGAGAAGTGGGCTCGACTTCGTCTGTCCTTGTTGAGCCTGTTGAAGAGCTCTCGCAAGGACGAAAATTGGCGTGTCTCCAGACCGACGCAGAAGCATAAACTAGTCATACTGTTTTAGCTAAAGTGTCTCCGAGCTCTGATTTACCAAAGTTCACAATTAATCTTGTTTAAAAGCCATAATGATCCTATTTTTTCTTCAGTATCATGAATGCGGCCTTTGCTGTGACCTTGAAGCAGGTTGGAATTTTCTCATAAACAGATGTACTCATTTCTAAGTACCTGTTCTGGTTTATAGTGTTTCTTATGGGTCAACAATGAAGAAAATAGTTTATTGTTGGTGATTTTTCTTGTAAAACATGTTTTTTTTTCATTTACCATGATAGCATACTCATCTTTCCTCTTGTTACGGTCAGCATGGCGTTGCTGTATTTTGGTTGTACTAAAACTCGTAAACATCTGGAAAAATCTCCTGATTTGTTGTTGGCTGTGTACGTTTTCCTCTGCATAAACCAGTTTTCCCTGCCCCCTCTTTAAGGTTTGATGCTGAAAAACATAGGAAAAGCCATGAAAGGTACACACAAAGCTCTGCTTTCTCTGCATTTCATTAACCTAACAATAAAATGAGTTGGCAGTTTATAACAAAGCACCAAGACATCTTGTTGTCTTAATGAGTAAAAGTGACAAAATCATCTAGTAAATTTTCACATTTAGAATTTAAATTGAAAAAAAAAAATCTGTTTGCTGACAGAAATAGTTGGCTTGGTGATTGTTTAACCCACTAAATTTTAGGGATGCACCGATGGATCGGCATTTGATCCCAATCGGCCGATAGCGCCCCTATCGGTTTTGATCGGAGTTTTCAAAATAGATCAAAGCAGACCGATCAGCAGACCATTTTAGATTAGGTTACATTTCCTTTATTCCCAGATTATGTAGTTTGTAGCACTCATTATAATGTAGAAAATTTCTGGCCAATCCACGTGATCGGTATCGGTGATTGGTATCAGTGATCAGCATTCTTTGATATCGGTATCGGTGATCGGCAACAAAAAACCTGATCGGTGCATCCCTACTAAATTTCTTTAGTGAGCTAATTACATTGATACCTTTGAATGCCCAGCATCCGTACGCTCTGTGTCTGTTATTCTGCTGGATTTCAGCTGTAGAGCAGGAGTCGTTATTGCTGGAGGTGTTAAGCCATCGTCCTGCCTTTTATCAGCGAGCTGTCAAAGGTTAGAGGAAGCTGAAGGTGTCAGGAGTTGATGGCAAAACACACAAAAACATTTTAATGTGTTATTAGCCTTCACTGCTCATTTGCATGACTTGCCCCCCCACCCCCTCCACTTACACACACACTGAAATTCACTAACTACCAGAGACCCTTTTTGATGTTGGAGCATGTCAGAGCGCTGCTTATCACTGATGTGTCATTAATCTCTATAGGCTGTAGATGGATAATGAGGATTCTCAGCTAAACTCTTACAATCCAAACTGATGAATCCCAGAGCTGCTTAAAGTCTGACATTCATAAATGATCTTTAGGAAAATCAGTGATTTAGTATTTACAATCCAAGAAATTAAATGTTGAATTACATTAAAGTGACGGTGTGTATTTTCCTAGGCGATAAGGGACTGTACATACCTAAGTCATTGCAAGCGAGCAATATTTTTGTGTTCAAGTAAGACCTAACCAACGGATGGCCATTAGGGTCAAAAATCCCTGCTGGGAGCACAACCTCCAGCAAAACGACAAGCACATCAGACTCCCTTTCATCACTGACAGCGAGCGAGTAGATAATGTTTAAAACAATATTTATGAATGGTGAAAGTTTTGTACCTGCTTGTTACAAATCAGTAAATGTGTTTTGTCCTCATAGGCTCCCATAGAAGGAAACATCGTCTAGTGTCTAATATAGTGTTCCCCAGAGATATATACCCGCTCCCATGTGTTTTACACCCGGTTTTTATGGTTATATGTTACGAAGCCGCCTAAATTTTCAATATCTGGGCTTCATTTAATTAATTTTCAACAACATTTTGATGGATATTTTGAGAGATTCAAGGTAAAAATTACACATTGTCTTTTAACCAAATTATGTCAACCGGTTCCACTAAACCTAGTTGCTTAAATGTAAAGGGTAATATATATTTACCTTTAACATGATACGTTTAAGCAACAAGGTTTAGGGGAACCGGTTAACATCACCTAGTTAAGTAAACATTTTATTTTTACAGTGTAGAATGACTCCATCATTGATGGTGAATGTGTGAGGATTCAGGATCATGGATGTCATCCTTTTGACTTCTGTCTGTGTCTTTAGAATCGACCGGGATGTGCACAGGAAGGTGGAAGTCGCTGCTGTTGCTGTTCCAGAGTGACGCCCCTCAACGCCTGCAGGATGAGGATGCTGAACGTTTTAAAACTCCTGTCGCCCGTTTGCTCTGGAAAGTGCCTTTTTGAATCAATGCTGGCTGTTTCATCATCAACCTTTTAAATGTATATGTTTTGCAAGTCGTTTAACCTTTAGCGTTGTGTCCTCATGCTGTCTACAATGTATTTAGTCTGTTATTTTATTCAGTTCTGTATTATGGCTGACTCGACCTTTAGGTGTTCCTTTTTCACGGTGGTATCTACACTTATTTAACACACCCTGTTACAAGTGGGTGGTGCATGTTCAGCTTTATTACATTTAAATATATATTTATATTCATAAGGGGACAAAGGAGAAAAATTAATATATTTTTATGCTCTGATTTTTAAACTGCATTTTAAGTGTTTGTCTCACTAAGTAGCATTTAGTCTTGACAGCACTTTTTTCACTCATGATGTTGTCTGTTAACATCTGGAGGAGACAAGAGTAGTTTTTGCCCCAGTTTTGGATTTGCTCTTGTGAATGTTGATGAGGTAGCAGTCTGAAACAAAAATGTACTTCTTGTCATTATTTCTTACAAGTAAAGCCATGGATTCACACGTCTATTTTGTGTTTTGACTCCTTTTTAGCAATAGTTCTAGAATGTGAGAAGAAAACATCGGTACATGATTCAAAATGCAGATATTTAAAGAAAAATGTGCAAAAATACCAGAAGCAGTTCATGGACCAAATGTTTTTCGTGTTGACTGAAAACCAAATTTTTATGTAATAGTTTTAAAAGGAAAACTAGGGAGTTTTGGCTTGTTTTTAGCACCCCCTAGTGTCTGTTTGTAGAAACGAAAGCAAAACCTCCAATCTCCTCACTGTGTGTTTGTCATTTTATTACCTTAATCTAACAGCTGAAATGTCTCCCTAGTCTTCATTAGTTTCTACAGGAGCGGTTCATCACTAAATTAAACAAATCAGCTTTTAATGATCTAAAGTATGCAGGAAATGTGCTGGAACCAGACTGCAGCGCCAGGTAGTCCCCGCCCTACCCGCCAGTCTGAAGTTGCAAGTGGAATATTCTGGCCACTGGGTGAGACGGGCTGGGTGGCCTTTCATTAACACTGTAAAGCAAGGGTAGGGAACCCTGGTCCTGGAGAGCTGCTATACAGTATGTTTTAGAGGCTTCCCTGCTTCAGCACAGTTGATTCACCTTTTCAGCAGCTCATCTAGCGCTGCAAAAGCCTGTTAATCACTTGCTGATTAAAATTAGGTGTGCTGAAGCTCACTCTCTGGGACCAGGGTTTCCTACCCTGGTGTAAAGGGTCATTTTCACACATAGGCTACTGGCTCAAAAAATGGTTTAAAATTATGAAAAAGTTGCAAAATATCCAAGAACAGGGCACTTGACCAAAACAGGCCCAAATGTAGCTTTTCCTGGTTTGAAAGGTCACACAACAGGTCGGACAGCAAAATATGAACGATTTCTTTTTAGCTGAGATGGTGCAAAATTTAACTTCACTGGTAGTGTGCTTTAAATTGTAGTTAATTGTATTTTAAGTCAGCATATTATAGGAACCTGTTGCCGTTGGAAAAAGGAAACAAAAGCTCTTAAAATGGTCTTTTTACGTGTCTGGCTGGAACAGTTAGGGTTGCAGGTTTAATTGCTTCTGTGTGTGAAATGTACAATACAAATAAAGCTGCCTTGCCTTGTTTTGCAATCAGCAGATTCAGTTTCATCCTGACTCTGTTTTTATAGTTTTTTAGTGTTATTGATGAATACAAGGTTTTAACCAAGTCAAAATAGTTCACCAAAATTAGTATTATCCTCTAAAACTTAGATTATTAATGACTGCAAGTCAGCACCGAGTTTTAGTTCATGTAAAATAATGTGTCTCAAATAATTACACGATTTCATTGAGCTCATAAATGGCTGTAATATAATAATGGTAATAATAATCCATCTAAGCTAGTCAAAGTAACGTGACACACTCCAAACTCATTTTTCTCATTAGTGAACTTTAAAAAAATTGTTTAGAAAATGTTGCCCTTTTTTTGAGTAATATAAAAAAAATGGTTTTATTGTGGAAAACAATGTAAAGGTCCTATATCATGCGACAGCCACTTTTTGGAGCTTTTGACCATGTTATATTATTTCCTCATGAAAAACAGTTAGGGTTTTTAAAACCCAAAGCGGTTTTTAGATTCACTCATGCATTTTCCTGCCCCAGCTGCAGATCTTCTGCTGTCTGCCCAGCAGCTGCAAAAGCTAAGATGCTAAAATGCTAGAAGCTAGCAGAAAGGTTGTAAAATTTGGTAGCAACAGGATGGGGCGATAATTCAGGCCATGAATCTGCTATAATCTCAGCCGCCTTTTCTACATTGTGTGTGTGTGTGTGTGTGTGTGTGTGTGTGTGTGTGTGTGTGTGTGTGTGTGTGTACGCGCGCGTGCATGTGCATGCACGTGTGTCAGCGACATGACTCCAAGCCCCCACAATGCGGGACAGAAATTGAATCCAATGCGGAAGTGAAATAAATTACAGTTCCACGTCTGTGAAGGTTCTCATCCAGGTCATTGTAGTCTAATGAGCTTTGAAAGAAAAGCGTCTGGACTTCTTTGAGTTGCTTGAAGACGTTTCACCTCTCATCCGAGAGGCTTCTTCAGTTCTAAGGTCAAATGGTGGAGAGTCCCAGATTTAAACCCAGTGGGAGTTTCCCCCCGAAGAGGGAACAAAAGACCCCCTGATGATCTTCTACATAAACACATGAGCCAAGGTGTGAGGGTGGGTGTGGATCCTATAGAGCTCCGGACCCCACGTGACTCTCAGTTAGTAGACGCCATATTGGCAGGAAAAAAAAGCTAAACAAACACGGATCTTAACCATGAACGTGAACGGGATCAGCTTGGATTTTACTTCGTCGGAGTTTACTTCACACTTTAAAACCGAAGAAATCATTTTATATAGTCAGAAATTAAATAGACTAAACATCTCCGACCCTTACCGTGCCCCTGGGATACTTTTTAAAAACGCCAGAAGCTGTCGGAGCGGACTTCTTACCGGACCTAGCCGGGGAACCCCTTGGGATTCCCCCGGAGGAGGAGGCGGCTGGGGAGAGGGAAGTCTGGGACTCTCGACGCTACTGCCCCCATAACCTGACTCCGGATAAGCGGATGAAAGTGGATGGATGGACAAATTACAGATTTACACGTAAGTAGTTTAAATAGAGTGCTGTGCTGTTTGAATGTATGAACTGAACGCCAAGAGAAATCACTAGTTTGATTTTTTTTTCCGTGAATAAAATAAATATGTCAGGCAGGAGCGTCTCAGGATCTGTCTGAGATCTGTCTCGGTGAGACAGATAATAGCAATCCAAAGTGCTTTTTATGTGTGATCTGACAATTGATCAACCATTGCTTAAAAATTAAATACAGCTTAGCCGGTTAATTGCTGTGATCATAAAACACGTAAAAGGCAGCACGCAGAACTCACGAGGCACCGTTTTACGTGATGTTTACTTGTTGCTATGAGTAATAAGACAGAAAAAGCCACGCCAAAAAAAGTTTAGGAAGCCCACTAAGAATCGTAATAAAAGCATTTAAAATAAATACCATACACAGTTGAGGAAACGTTGGTTTAAGTACCTGATATGAAGCGGTCGCTGCATAAGCGAAAACCTTTACTCTCGGTATCCCACAGCTTCATTTCAGCCCGGTCACTAGCGCGTTTTACAATGATCCAACGTTTGCGGCGCTCCGGATCTTGGGGAATCCTGTAGATGGCTCATGCCTTATGTCGTCTGTGTCTGTTCTGCATCCTGGGGCACAACAGGAATCTACCATATTTCCCGTTTGACTGAGTTTTCTGACAATAACAAATAGTCCAGCTGCCGGCTTCTACCTGCCAATATGGCGCCGTTTCGATTTGAACTGTTGCATTCCGGGAGAAGTGACGTCAACTCCCGGAGCTCTATTCAGCCAAAGTTTCGGGTGAGCTCATTGTGAAGCCTGGCCCCACCCTATCATGTGAATTCCTGAGGTCAGGTGGCCCAGGATATGCGTGGTCGTTGAGGCATCTGGGAAGGGATCTCAAAACTGGATTATAGATGGCAGACAGTTCCACCCTCATCCGCTGGGGGCTGGTGTCAGAAGCGAGCAAATCCTCAATGACTCCCATGTTAAAAATACAAATTTCACAGCAGAAATAAACATGTTTACAGCCTGGTACCAAAACATGTTTTTGGTTTAATTGATCTAGTGTATACTCATGACAACTCTGAGGGGGTGAGTTTTTTTCTCACTCTTCTGTTTAAGTGTTTTAAAGGTCTAAAATTCTGTATAATAAATGAGCATCCGACCCACGTGACCACAGAGCTAGCTCCGGGGAAAGACCTCAGTCTGAGCCTCGGTCTGTCATTTTCAGTCTCTCAACTTAGACCATTAGTTGTAGCATTTGTGCGTTCTTTTTTGGATATTTTTTGTGCAATTGTTGGACAAAATGACTTGCTGTGGCATTAATTGCACTAATAGAGCGTCCAAGGAGTCTCCACTTCATTTTTCTCGGTAAGTAAAATTATATTTATGTATTTTAGGTCACTGCCGAGCTGAGCTTAGATTTTAACATGGACTGTTTAACCATGAAATTTAAATGTAATAGGGTAAAACCCAGTGCATTTTACATAATGCTGCATTTTAGAAAATGGGTTGAAATATAACATGTTGGTGGAGCTGGGTCCTGACTATCGGCTTGTGGAGCTCTCGGGAGACCGATGTTTTCCACCCTTATCCCCTCCCCACAGCTCGGCGCATCTCTGTCTGATTGTAGCTTCTGTTTGCTGCGCGGGCTGCCGGCTTGTGGAGCTCTGGGATGGAAACCTTTCGACCCGGTTCTCCCCAGCGGCAGCTCTGTGCATCTCGGATCGCAGCGGCGCTTGTCTGCTGTGTGGCTGCCAGCTTGTGGAGCTCTCGGGAGACCTCTGTGTTCCACCCGGTTTTACCCAGCGGTCAGCCCGGCGTATCTCTGACTCAGAAGCTCTGGTGTTGTGCACAGTTAACTCCGGTTGTAGCTAGGTTGCTACCTCCGTTAGCTGAGCTCCCACCTCCGCATTAGCTTTGGGTTAGCTTCAGGTTAGCTTGTAGCTAGTTTGACCAGGTGTCGTCAGTTGATCCCAGCCTTACAGCCCCACCCTCAGCTGCACCTCTCTTCCGTTTTGTTGAATTGTCTGGGCTTGACGGAACCTGTAGCACGGTCAAAATGGCGGTGGTGGCCAACTCCCAATTTTCTTCAAAAACTTGTTATTGGAGCCTATGGAAACCCATTGTCCATATATGTATATGTCGATGTTTGACCCTCTGACTGAGAATTCTCTATAAGGGGGCTGAGTGGATATATGTTGAATCTTCGGTCTCCGGGTCTGCAGCTGTGTGCTGTTGTGGAATTCACACAGAGGAGGTGAGGTTTCATCCAAGCGTCTCATTTTCAGGTTGAAGGAAAAAGTCACTAAAATAACGTATATTTTATAGAAAAGGACGTCTCAATAGTTCCAATGGTAACATTTGATCAAATCTTGTGCCTACCTTTGCTCTGGGATGTAATGCTGGCCGTTTACACCATTATGATTTCCCACCTCACAATTCTAGTTAAAAGAATTTTTGGGGAAAGTTGTGCCTTAAATTGTCTTTCCGGAGTTTTCCCCTTTCAGAAATCATGTATGATTTTTCAGAAATTCGTAAAAGTGATTATCTTATCTGTGATGTAATGTAAGCAATACTTTTTTCTTTTTTTTCCTTTTTTTTTTTTTTTTTTTGCTAAGCACGCCCCCTGCCCCACAGAGCTTCGTGCAATAGGAAACTGAGCGCAGACCAGAACTAACCAATAGCGTTAGGCTACCGCTTACGCTCTTCAAATTTAAGGAATACCTCGGCTGATGATTAACTTTTTGACAGACAAGTAATTCTCTAAAATGTAAATATATGAAAACACAACATGACATGAGAATTATATTTTTAAAACAACGTGTTTTAGCTCTGTAGGCAACAGAAAGACATAAATAAGTAAGAAATGTGAAATTGCCATCTTAAAAAAATTGGAGAAATTATTTGTGTGATATGCTTGTCAGCCACCAGATGGGGCCGTTGGATAAGAGAAATACTCCGGAAAGATACTATTTTCTTCTGTGCAATGTCAAAGAGTTTAACAGTGTACACTAATGAGCATCACAAGTCAATAGAAGCAGGAACCTGAAACAGTTACCACCACATAATAAACATTAGTGAAACATTTCTGAGGATCACACATAAACAGTAAAATCTTTAAAATTTTATAATACATTTTTGGGATTTAGAGATATTATGGTAACACTTCATTTTACAGTCCCCTAATTACTAAGTACTTGCATGGTAATTACATAGTAAGTTAAAGTATATTATTGTGTTAATAAAGTGTATAATCGTAATAAAGTGTAATTATTATGTAAAGCAGTATATACTGGGATGATTCAGAAAAATAAACTAGAATTGAACCTAAGTTACATGGTAATAGCTGTTTAAGAACTCAGAAATAATATTACACTTTAACTTACTATGTAATTACCATGCAAGTACATAATAATTAGGGGACTGTAAAAGGAAGCGTTACCAATATGATTTATATTATCTTTTGACAACAGTATAAATAAGATGCACACTAACATTAGCACATTTATTTATTGTATGAAATTACCTACATCCTCCATGGGTTCATGGAAAAGCAGTCTTGTGTAAAATCAGCTTGTGATGCGTAACAATGTTGGGTACCACAGCTCAAATTCACGTTTAAAAAAGGTTTGAATTTTCCTGTCTTGTTTGGGGGCAATGACGACCCAAAGCTTTGAAACGTAGAACCGACTCCAAACATCGAATGGCGATGTCATCGACTGCAGGGTGAAACGAAGAGGTGCACTTGTGTCAGGAGCCAGGAGATGTCACCAGCTCCGTACACACAGACTGCTCCTCTGCACTCCCCTGTGCACGAGTAGTAGGGGGCTCCTTTATTTACATCTCCTGCTGAGTAGGCCCACTTCACAACACGTGCGAGGGCATTCATGTCTGACATGTCGTACCTGATGTTGGCAGGCACTGATCCAGGAACAGAGGGCATCCTCTGTAGAGTGGCCCACAAGTGCTCATCGGGTCTGTGTGTGTCTTTCTCCTACTCTAAAAAGGTCTGCACAACTTTGTCCTCCATCACATGTTTGACAAAGGCTCTTGTAACCACAATGTAGGCATTTCCTGAGAACATGGGG